ACGAGCACACGCAGCGCATCAATGAAGTTGACGTAGGCCTGAAAATAGCGCATGCGCAAAATATGTTCTACGGGATGATTATGAATAATTCATACGATTATTTAATACCGCCCTCAACGTTAAAAATAATTGGGGAATTTCCCAACAAACACCGCCGATTCTTTGTTTTGCGGCTTTTGCCTAGGCCTAGGCCTTTTCTTTTTTGTTTGGGCAAGGAAGGAGGTTTTGACTGAAGGTTGCAGAAACCAGAAGAGCGTAATTTTGTGGCATAAATAATTGAATTGGTTAGTAGATATAATGAAATTTGCATTATAGGCCTAGGCCTGAAAGAATATATCGAGATACTGTCTCAAAAAAATACTTTACAATTTGATCGGGATAAATCAAGGACCTCTGGAGCCTTCACATAGGTGGTGGGTGCGGCTCAAAAAGGACTCCGAATTCGAGTCACTCGGGCCCGGCCCTAAGTCAACTCGGCACCAAGTAAACTCGGTCCCAAATTTACTGTGTGCTGCCATGGTATTTTACGAACTATCAATTAGAAAATTTGGCGCTAATGCACTTTAGTACTGTAACACTTCTATCTTCAAAACTTGTCTTGGCGCTAATGCACTTTAGTACTGTAACACTTCTATCTTCAAAAATTGTATTTTTACCTACTGTGCGCTACTAACGATATCTTAAAAAGATTTTTCATCCAGTTCTGCCACTAATAACGCCAGATTTTAGCATTTTATTACTGAAACCAAGGCTTTCAATGCCTAATACCATAGCTCCATCCTTCGTCTCTGTGTTTAGCGACAATATGATGGCGAATTTGTGATCGAGCCTAATTCTGTTGCCAGAATTCAAACTTTATATGCGTTGGTGTTGCCAGAATTAGTAAATGAAGATCAAGCGTCAGATTCTGAACTATATTTGTAGGAGCTATGAGAAGTGCTATGGCTCGTGAGAGAAGGGAAAAGGAAGGCAGCAAAACATGCATACATTATTTAATGAATGAAAGAATGTATAAATAAATATATGAAGGTCCTGCGATGTCCTGTGTGTAATAATGGCCATGATTGACAAGTGATTGATTGATGAGTGAGGGTTGTTTAGGTGGTGGGTGGGTGGGTGAGTGAGTGACTGATTAATTGATTGATTTATTTATTTATTTAATAATTAATAATAATAATAATAATAATAATAATAATAATAATAATAATAATAATAATAATTTGATTTGAGTTTATTTAGAAAATCATTTCACAATTGCATCGGAACATTGGTAAAGAAAAACACTAGGCCTAATAAAAAATTAATATCAAATTACGAATATTTCGGCTACTCCTGTAGTCTTTGTCAACGCTTCTTGACATAAAATCTTTGTACAGAAACTCTAGGGTTCACCGTCCACCACCATTGTGGCACAATCTAGACTTCTGCCTCGATGGTTTGAAAAGGAACAGGATACACAGTTGTCCAGCTACCATAGACAAACAGGTGCTGAAACGACGATCGATTGGGAGTGATTTGGTATTAATTGATTGATTGATAATTGATTAAATGATGTTTATTTGTTTGAAATTTGTTTTATTGATTAAGTTTGTTCAATCGATAACGGTGGGTAGATTGATTCATTTATTCAATTGCTAATATTGATTGATTGGGTGATTGATTGATATATTTTGCTTGTTCGATAACGGATACCGGGTTTATTCATTGACTAATTAATTGATTGGGTATTAATTGATTGATTTGTAATTGATTATGTGTTGTTCATTTCTTTATGGTTTATTTCATTGATTGATTGATATATTTTGCTTGTTTGATAACGGATAACGGTCTATTCATTGACTGATTGATTGGGTGATTTATTGAATTTGTATTAATTGATTGATCATTTGGGTGGGTGATTGATTGATTGCCTAATTGATCAATTGATCAAATGATTGATCTAATAATTTATTGATTGATCGATCGATTGATTGGTCTGAATGCTTGTTGATTGATAATAATTAAGCGATTATTATTTGTTTTGATACTGATCAATTAATTACTTAATTATTTACTCATTTGTATGATTAAATATTTAATGTATTTATCAATTAATTGATTGATTGATCGTGATAGACTTATTGATCAATCGATTGGTTTGATTTTAATTGATTGATTAATTGACCGACTAATTGGTTTGAATGTTGATTCTATCGTTTATGATTAATTAATCAGTTATCAAAATAATTAATAATCGATCGATCGATCGAAAAATCAGTTAATAGGTCACCAGAACGATTGATCGATCATTTTGTTAATTGATTTATTGACCAACCATTAATTGACTAAGTTAAATGACTAACTGATTGATAAATGTACCATTTGAAGAATACACAAAAATGTCATAATGCCGCTTATCAGGTTTTTGATCTTTTATTTATTAATATATCAAAGAACATACTTAAAATTTGGCTATTATAACAAGCCTAGGTGACAACTTGATTTACAAATTTACATTATAATCATTTTACAAAATTATAAAACATTATTTTTTTTAATTCTAAAACGTCATTTCCTAATACCGCGCATTGAATTAAATCAAACTTCATGTTATTGTATTATGGCATTATATGTTAATCAAACTATAACAAAAGTAATTTTAAACCAAAATTGTTTTTAAGGAAGCTTAACATGAACAATACTCAAAGTATACAACAGGTAGGGGCCTATATTTTTTTCACTTTCCACTTTTGTGTTTCCAACAAACATCGGTTACAAACATCCAATTCCCTTCGCCTGTAAATGTAAGTTCGATCCAAGCATTAATCCATTTTGGATCAGCTACTATTTCCTTAAGGGCTAAAACAAGTCCGCTATATGGTCCAAATTCTTTTGATAGTTTTCTCATGCTGAAGTAGCCATGACGGGAAGTGTCGTCATGACTGTAACTAATTTGTGGTAGCCGACGTATGAAGCGCCTTGTTAGTCGCTTAAAGCGATTATTAAGCTGGCAAAGAGAACGATATGTCATAATAATACTGAATCCCGTTCCAGTTAATGCAAAGTCAATTATTTTGTCAATTACCTCATTTGGAAGTTGAATGGGCACATTACGGTCTTCGTCATGTACATTTTGGATTGGATTGGAAGAAGGGTTGTCAGCGAGAACATCGACTTTGCAATCATCATCACGTTCGTCTTGACTTCCTTTATTAACATCGCTGACAATCGGCATATCACAATTGTTTATGTCGTGGGTCAAACGATTAAGGGCGATGTAATGCTCACCATGGTTTTCAGCAAAATGTCCAAGGTATAATGTTGTCATCGGAATGCTTGATAAAGGGTGAAAAACATGTCCAGCACCAGCCCCGAGAGATGAAATGACTTGTATATTCACATTGTATAAGTTTGCAGTAGCGAACAATGTCAGTTGATCTCCGTAAGTATGATTCTGTGACATGTAGTTAATATAGTCTGTCCATGAGTTGTAGTACGGGACCCATTCAAGTAATGGGAAACCACTTTCATCAAGAGGATGTGCTTCCAGGTATCTAACAATTTCTTGCCGCAATGTCTCTGGCGATCTAAATATTCCAAGAGATCTAAGATGAAACGTCAAAGCTGCAAACTGGCAGTTGCCATTTCCTTGAGGATTGCTAAGTAGTTCATATCCCTGATCTTCTATTTGGTTAAGATAATCATTGCTTGACATAGGTAGCAGATATTTCTTTTTGTGCAAATTTCTCGCATGCCTTTCATGTGTTTCTGCTTTCTGCTTCAGTTGTTTAATTTTACGATAGCAATGTTTAGGGTTACTCACAGAAAACGAAGCTTTACTTACACGTTTTGATGCTTGGTGTTTGATTTGAACGTCTCGTGATCGAATTGGTTTAAGAATTTCCTGAACACGGTGTTTACTAACGCCGATAAGGTTAAGTTTCAGTGAGGATGCGATCTTAGCATCAGATCTCTTTGTACTAATAAAATCGTCGGTGACAATGCTCTTAATTTCCGATGTTTTCAACATCCGTCGACCTTTATAGAAAATGATTTCTTTGCCGCATTCTCTTTGGACACTTAGCTGGCCTTTGTATCGCCATAGACGAATTGTTGCAGACTTTTGAGCCTTGGTCCTTACTTTAACCGGTGGAAGTGCTTCGCCTTTTAAAAGCAAGAGCAACTCATCGTATATTTCATCTGGAATTGCTGATGGGTTCCTATTTCCTCTGGCTTGATCATCCTTTTTTGCAGAAAACACTGGGCTGACTATAAAGAAAAAGCCAAGCAGCAACAAAACTAGAGCCATCGAACTTCTCATCTTGAAGCCGGGGAGCAGAATGATTAGGTTATTTACAAAAAAGAGACACGACCATATATTTTTCTTTATTCAAATGTATGCTAATTATCGGCGCGCCGACTACAAATTTTTTCTCACTTAAAGAAAGTATTCAAATCACAAACCCCTACACAAAAAAAAAAACAAAAAACCATGCGATCGACCCTTTTCATGAATTCTCACGGCGGCACCAAGATGTGCGCCAAAAGATATATTTAAATGTATGCTAATTAATGGCGCGCAGACTACACAATTTAAAGAAGTATACAAACCACAAAAAAAAAAAAAAAAAAAAAACCCGTGCGATCGACCCTTTTCATGAATTCTCACGGCGGCACAACGTGCGCCAAAAAGACGCGTGGTTACTTTTGCAAACATGGCAGTCCCTGATTTTACCTGCGCCAATAGCAAAGCTGAGAACGATTTTTTAATGAATTCCCACGGTGATGACTGTAAAAGACATGCGCAAAAAAGCTAGAATAGGTGACATTACATGCATTGAGCTTTTGACCAATCATCAATTGGTGAAATATCGTACAGGTACCTCCCACTTATTAAAAAAGCCAATCAAGTTTAATACTTGTATGCCTAATTAAATCTACCAATCGGTTGACTTTCAAAAATGACAAAAGTTTTTAAACAATCAGTCAAAAAGTAGAAGTTACGACATAGGTAATCAAGTATTGATTCCGAAAAAGTCATGGCGCAAGCTCTAGCCTTACCAGACGAAGCTGAGTTTAATTCAATAACTCTTATTAACATCGGTGCACGATTTCGAAATGATCTTGATGCTTTGGTGACTTGGTGCCGAAGATATGGGTTGTTATCATCACATATGGTGTGCCAAGCGTGCAACACGCGGTGCATTGAATATAATTTTGGAAGAGGAATTGACGAAAGAATATGGCGGTGTAATAACCAGAGGTGTAAACGAACAACTAGCATAAGGAAAGGAAGTTTTTTTTCCGGATCTCATCTGCATCTATGGCAGTTGTTGGCCTTGACATATATGTGGTCAACCAACTGCGGACGTCCAAGAGGACCCTCGCAAGCCAACATAATGAAAGAACTGGAGATAGGATCGGAACATACTGTTGTTGATTGGAATCAGTTCTGTCGAGATGTTACAGTCAATTATTTTAGGAACCACCCCGAACAACTTGGCGGACCAGGCGTAATCGTCGAAATTGACGAGTCTCTTTTCTCTAAACGGAAAAATCACGTTGGACGTGTGGTGCGAGAACAATGGGTATTTGGGGCTTATGAGCCTGCGACAAAGAAAGGGCTTTTGATTCCAGTGGAAGCACGAGATGCCGCCACATTGCTGCCGATTGTAAGGCAATGGATTGCTCCAGGATCCCACGTACATTCTGATATGTGGAGAGCTTATAATCAAATTGTACTTATACCAGGGCAAAATTACCAACATGATACTGTAAATCACACACGACACTTCGTCGACCCACAGACAGGAGTAACAACAAATCATGTGGAGGCTATGTGGTCTAGGGCAAAAGCAAAAATCAAGTCAATGATGGGGCCCACAAACAGAGAAATGTCGGAAGATTACATGGCAGAGTTCATGTGGAACCAACGGTTCGGCGAATCACCATTTTATAACTTTTGGCACCAAATTGCATCGGAGTTATACATCGTTCATTAGACACTTTCTGAGTTCCAGAACTAATATCAACATTTAAGTTAAGGTATACCAAATTTGCGTGTTTTGTGTTTCTCAGATAGCGACATTGATAATTTTAGTCGTAATACATGCACCTAATTATTAGAACTTGAACATTTAATTGATTCCGAATGTAGTTAAAGCTAAAGCCATGTTCATAGTAGGCTACTTTGCTTAATGCTTTGATTCCACTGATTCAAACATAAATGATAATAAAACTGAATTTTATTTATTATCTACGACCTGTATTGAGCATTAATTCTGTACATTATCAACATTGTTGCTGGGTGACGATCAACTTCAGGCCACGGATTTATCAATTTCAGCTTAGCAAATGTCTTAAGTCAAAGAAGTTAGGATGTCCTAAGCAAGTATTTTAAGCTGAATTATCAAACCTTCTAAAAAAAACCGTCTTAGATGGAGCATGCGTACAATCAACTTTTTAATTTTAAGCTACGCAATATTTATAAATCTGACCTAAGCAAAACATGGACTTAAGATTAATTTAAGCTGATTTCTAATTTGATAAATCCGGAACCTAAACCTTAAGTGTATGTATAATACGCTTTGGGGAATGAGTGATTTGTGTAATGAAGAAGAATGTTTCCAATCCATACAGTACAATATTTTTGATAAATCACAACATCATTATGATAAACTACACTGACCAAAACTTTTTCATGAGTTTTCAAAAACCAAGTACTTTAATAAATTATCTGTTGATTAAATGATAGATGGTCGATCGATTGTCAAACTTCCACTTGTTGGGTCAGAGAAAGTGATTGATTGATTTAATTTATTCGCAATTACAGTGAACAGGTACATACAAAAAACAATTTACAAAATATTGACCAGATAAAAATGACACTAACTGTACTTATTGTGTTGTTTGTTGAACGACAGTAATAGAACCAATACACAACAAAATTCCATGAGCCTCTTTATTAAGTGTCCTCCACTACAAAGTTGGAAGGTCCCTGGACTATATATATATATATATATATATAATTTCAATTCGAAAATAAAAGCACAATAGTACAAATAAACTTGTTCGATTAAAATATCGAGATATGAAATTCATAAAACATTTAAATAGTCAATACATATATATATATATATATATGTATATATATATATATATATATATAAATGAAAGCACAGTAAGTACAAATAAACTTGTTTGATTAAAATATCGAAATATAAAATTTATGAATTATTTAAATAATAGGCCTAATCAATACATAATTCAAAGAAATTCACAAAACATCTAAAAATCATTATATTAAGTTGAAAATCGATTATTATTAATTATTATTATTATAATTACAATTATAATCAAATTACAACTACAACTATAATTATAATTATATCACTTGTTATCATACTACTCGTGGTCTATAGAGGGCCTCTTTTATTTATCAAGCTATCAACACATAATTTACAAAGGAGACCCCCAAAAAGTAAAACGTATTTATACTGGGGTCATTTAAAATACAGAAAGGTAATTATAGATTTATTATTGAGCATATAAAGAACAGAGAATGTTCCTTGTTCGATATTCGCTACCGGTATCTAAGTTAGTACAGTATTTATTGGAATAAACGCCCCGATTTGAATAAACACTCACCTCGAATAAACGCCGCATCTCCACCCCAGTCCCACCCACATTCTTAGAGTCTCGTTTGGAATAAACCAAAGATCTTATATTATAAGCAACATCATTCTTAACACATTGTAAAATAACATTCAACTCCAGCAGAATACATTTTTTTCTAACCTGGTTGTTTTTAATTCACGAATTTTGAGTGTAATGTGTTGTAGTTCAATATGTAATGAAAGTGTACATGTATCCTTTTACACCAAAAATAAGCGCCTCTGTCAAAACTCATTCTCAAAAATAAACAGGCATCGAAACCAACTGTCCAACCGGGATTCGAACCCGGCATCTTCTGCTGTCTATAAACGGTAAAGAAGAGGAAGTTGCGAGTCTGGAAAAATTTTCCCAACCGTGATCCAAACCCAGGGGTTTCTGCTATGTATATACTGTCTCTTATACACATCTAGATGTGTATAAGAGACAGTATATATATAGTGCACAACCTTCATAACTTAACTGCCCCAAATCAAAAATCTTATACTAACAAGATAGCGTTTCCAGCAGTTTGCATGTAACATATAGAAGCGTCCAATTCACGCAGAAAACAATAGAAAGTAATTGTAATTAAGAGAGGGCGTCCTAGTTCTTACTATGGCGATTGTTCAGAATTTGCACGGAGATCATAGATGTCAAAGGTCAAAAGTAATTGTAACTGCAAGAGGGCGTCCTACACTGCGTTATTACAGAATGTTCACGCAGAAATCGCGTGAAAGAAAATTTTTTTTTCTCTGTTTATATTTTATATTGTTCATGGGTGCACCATCAAAGTGGTGGGTGCCACTGCTCTGAAAGTGAACCCAATAAATCGTATCGTATCGCGGAGATGGATGATCTGTTATTGTAAGATATTTGCCCCAAATGTCCAGCGTCCCCACAACCATTCACGACCCCTTTAGGTGGTTTTGGGCGAAGATTGGCCCTAAATAATACGGTCCTAAGTGTATTTACTTTTTGGCACTAAATGTAATAAAAGGTCTAAGGTGTAATAATTTTTGGCTCGAAATATATTACAGGTTCTAGGCCTATGTGTAATAATTGTTGGGTCTAAATGTAATAAAGGTCCTAAGTGTAACAATTTTTGGGTCTACAAATCCTGAAGTGTAATACATTTGGGTCTAAATGTAATAAAGTTTCTAAGTGTAAGAATTTTTGGTCTAAATGTAATAAAAGGTCCTAAAGGTAACAATTTTTGGGGTCTATACAAATCCTAAAGTGTAATAGTTTTTTGGTCTAAATGTAATAAAGGTTCTAAGTGTAATAATTTTGGGTCTAAATGTAATAAAAAGGTTCTAAGTGTAATAGTTTTTGGGTCTAAATGTAATAAAGGTCCTAAGTGTAATACATTTGGGTCTAAATGTAATAAAGGTTCTAAGTGTAAGAATTTTTGATCTAAATGTAATAAAAAGGTTCTAAGTGTAATAATTTTTTGGTCTAAATGTAATAAAGTTGCTAAGTCTAATAATTTTTGGGTCTAAATTTAATAAAGGTTCTAAGTGTAATAATTTTGGGTCTAAACGTAATAAAAAGGTTCTAAGTGTAATAATTTTAGGTCTAAATGTAATAAAGGTCCCAAGTGTATTTTTTTTTTCAAATGCAATGAAAGTTATCCTAAGTGTAATAAATATAATTGAGTTTTAAAGCATTGTTGACACCGAAACATTTTCGGATAGGAATTTAATGTGAATGCACCTTCAGTATGTAATAGATGTTGGCCCTAAATTTAATAAATGTCATTATTGTACCAGCATATTTAATAACAACGGTAAAAACAATTAATACTAATAATACTAAATAATAATAATGAAAAATATCGCTTTAACAAAATCAAAACAATAACCTGGCAACGAAAAGAGCTGTCCATAAAATTGGATAACAACCTGGCAATTAGGTATTTATCAACAACAAACAGCGGGTGTTGCATTGTCATGAATCGCTGGAATAGAACGTGGTTTTTCGTAATAAAATGCTAAAAACCGGCGTCATTAGTGGCAGAACTGGATGAAAAATCTTTTTGTAAGATATTGTTAGGAGCACACAGTAGGTAAAAAGACAAGTTTTGAAGATAGAAGTGTTACAGTACTAAAGTGCATTAGCGCCCTTGTCTTTTTACCTACTGTGTGCTCCTAACAATATCTTACGGTGTTCTTCATTCAGATTCTGCTTAATAACATCGGTTTTTAGCATTTTATTACTAAAAACCACTGCCTATGGCTCCATCCGTCATCTCAAATGGCAAATTGGCGATCGAGCCTAATGCTGTTGCCAGAGTTCAAACTTTATGATTTGGTGTTGCCAGAATCAGTAAATCAAAATGAAGCTTCAGATATTCTGAACTTATTGTAGAGCGCAAGACTCCACTAAATCAGTATGACAATTTCGATGGCTCGTGAAAGAAGGGAAAAGGAAGGCAGCAGAACATGCATACATTATGAAAGAATGTATAAATAAATATATGTAGGTCCTAAGTGCAATGACCTAAGTATAATAATGG